AGGAACATGCCAATTTCACTTTTAGTTATTTTAAAGTATACTCTAACTTATTGTTGATTATAGTCACTTCGTTGTGCTATCAAATATTATTAATTCTGTCTAACTATCTAACTATATTTTTGTACCCATTAACCATCCCCACTTTATCCCCCTGTCCCCACTACCCTTCCCAGCCTCTGGTAACTGTCATTCTACTCTCTGCCTCCATGAGATCAATTGCTTTTAATATTTAGGTCCCACATATCAGTGAGAAAATGCAAGATTTGTCTTTCTGTGCCTGGCTTATTTCACTTAACACAATGTTTTCCAGTTCCCTCCGTGGTATTGCAAATGGCAGGACTTCGTTCTTTTTTGTGACTACGTAATATTCCATTGTGTATGTGCACCACAATTTTTTTATCCATTCAACCACTGATGGACACTTAGGTTGATTCCATATCTTTCCTGTTGTGAATAGTGCTGCAATAAACATGGGAGTGCAGGTATCTTTTGATGTACTGAAGTCCCATCCTTTGGATATATACCCGCAGTGGGATTGCTGGGTCATATGGTAGTTCTTTTTAGTTTTTTGAGGAACTTCCATGCTGCTCTCCATAGTGGTTGCGCGAATTTACATTCCCACCAACAGTGTACAAGGCTTCCCCTTTCTCCATATCCTCGCCAGCATTCATTATTGCCTGTCTTTTTGATAAAAGCCACTTTAACTGGGGTGAGATGATATCTCATTGGAGTTTTGATTTGCATGTCTCTGATGACTAATACTGTTGAGCATTTTTTCATATACCTGTTAGCCATGTGTATGTCTTCCTTTGACAAATGTCTACTCAGACCCTTTCTATGGGCAATCTTTGCATCAGAGCTCCCCGTTGGTGGCTGAGACTTTCTCAGAGCAGCTCTGCAATGTGGGGCTCTCTCACCCACCCCTCCTTCCCTCTCCCTCTCCTCGCATAGATGTCAGACCCAAAATGTGGTCTGAAGTCTTTCCCTCTCCAGTCCTGCTTCCTCCCTTTTTTTTTTTTTGAGACAGAGTCTTGCTCTGTCACCCTGGCTAGAGTGCAGTGGTGTCATCATAACTCACTGCAACTTCAAATTCCTGGGCTCAAGCGATCCTCCCACCTCGGCTTCCCAGAGTGCTAGCATTACAGGCGTGAGCCACGTCTCCCAGCCCCTCTCCCTTGATCTTTCACAGGCATTTCCTCCAATAAATCTCTTGTACTTCTAACTCCATCTTAGCAGCAGCTTCCTGGAGGACCCCACCGACCCCTCTCTGGCTGCCAGACCCCAGTCCCCGGCAGGGGATGAGTTCCCTCTCCTTCCCCCTGTTGAGCGCTGTGCTCTCCCTCCCTGCCTCTCTCATGAGCATGCTCTGTACAAGGTCTCAACCTGTGCCTGGCACATAGACTCAGTAACAATTTGGTTTTTTTGTTTTGGTTTTTGTTTTTAACCTCAATCCTGTTCCTTCTATAGACAATTTGTTTTTGCATGAACACAGAATGCTCTGGAGCTAGGCACTGCCCGCCCCATTCTCCAGCCACAGAGAGCTGCAGAGAGCCTTCCGAGTAAGGCTGGGAGTGCTGGTTCCAAGGGGCAGATGGAAGGTTCCCTTCAGTGGGGAGGAAGGTCCTGGGAGCTGAGAGTCTCCCAGGCCCTGGGGAGGCCCCACACAGGCCAGGGAAGTCAGACCTGGCTTCTCTCTTGATCTGCTGGGTGACTCCCAGCCAGTCAGTCCTTTTCTTGGGCCTCACTCCATCCACCTCCACTATGGGGTAAGAAGCCCCACCCTGCCTGTCTCCCCAGGGAGGGGGAGGGATTGAGAGCCTCGGGTGAGGTCATAGCTGGGAAAACAGCAGTGGGAAAGGGCGGGGCACACTGAGGGTTGCCGAGGTCCTGGGCCTGGGGTCAGGGTGTACAGGTAGAGCAGACAGAGAAAGGAGGAAGAGGCAAGAATTAGGAGAGAGGGAGTGGTGAAAACACACAAGGAGAGAGGAAGAGAGATACAGACAAAGAAACACAGGACAGAGGAAACAATGAAAGAGGAAAGGACTGAGAGAGAGGGGAGAGAAAGAAGAAAGGGAGGAGAGAAACCAAGAGACACAGAGAAACAGAAAGACAGAGGAAAACTAAGAGAGAGGGAGAGAAAATGAGAGAGGGAGAGAGAGAAATTAAGAAAGAAATGGGGGCTGGGCACAGTGGCTCACACTTGTAATCCCAGAACTTTGGGAGGCTGAGGTGGGAGAATTGCTTGAGGCCAGAAGTTTGAGACCAACCTGGTCAACACAGTGAGACCCCATCTCTACAAAACATTAAAAAATTAGCCAAGTGTCCTGTAGTCCCACTTACTTGGGAGGCTGAGGCAGGAGGATCACTTGAGCCCAGGAGTTGGAGGGTGCATTGAGCTATGATGACTGTATTCTAGCCTGGGTGACAGAGTGAGACGCTGTCTTAAATTTAAAAAAAGAAAAGGAAAAACAAGGAATTAGAGAGGGAGATGGAGACAAGGAGGTAATGGAGGAGACAGAGAAAAATTATGCAAATCAGAGCCAGAGATAAAAAGAGACCAAGAGACAGCGATGAGAGAGAAGCCAAAGGAGACAAACAAGGATGGGGACCGATGGCGGGAGACAGGGGTAGACAATCAGTCAGGGAGGAAAGAGGGAATGCCTTCTCCCCAGACCCCCACCCCTACTCCCCACTGGCACCCACCATGCACCCTGCCCCACCCAGACAGGCCTCTTCCACCTGCAGGGCCCAGCCTGTCCTGTCCTGCTGGTTTGGTTCCCTCCATCCTCCGCCATAAGGCCTCTGAGGGGCACCCTGGTGGCAGGCAGGGCACCCAGCCTGTCCTGTAGGCTGACTGACGTGGCTCCCGGGTGGAGTATGAACAGAAACCCAGTGACACCCTCCCTCAAGGCCCAGGCAGGCTCCAGCCTGCCTCCCTTTGGGCCTAGACAGGAAGAGACTTCAGAGGTCAACTCCACTGTACTTCTCACTGTACAGAGGAGGAAACTGAGGCCCAGAGAGGGGCAAGGACAAGCCTGAAGTTACACAGCCAGGCAGTGGCCTAGCCACTGGTCCCACAGACCCTGACCAGGCTGAGCTAGCAGGCATTACAGATGCTGTGGCCTGAAAACCTTGGGTCTTTCTTTCTCCTAAGTAAACTGCTTCCTGCCCAGGGGTACCCTGTGGCTTTAGTGATAGCGTTTTAGATGCTCCGATGTCTTACCAGACATCCCGAGCAGATGACTACTATGGTTATGCCCATCAAACAGAGGAGGAAACCAAGGCTCAGTGAAGTCAAGATTTCCCAGCCTGGTGTCACACGACACTGAGACCCAAGCTGGGTCTGTCTGACCTTGAGAGCTGGGTTCCTGCTATGAAACATCCCAGCCTCCCCGGGTGATGGGCAGGGAAGGGCTCGGTAATATGGGAAAGGGGGCACAGGTGGGCGGCAATTCCTACTACAGGAGAAAGTACCAGAATGATGGTTTTTCAAACATCAGAATTCTTCCCAGAGGGCCTCAACTTTGTTCAGCTGTGTCTTTGCCCTGGGGGATCCCCAGGTCTCCCTACCCCTTCAACCCTGGCACCACATGCTCTACTCCATACCCCCTTCCCCAGCCTCTGAAGAGAAGGGGTTTGGCCCCTGGGCTACCCCCACCTTATTTCCCTTCTCTTTATTGTCCCCAGCTATGACTGTCCCCTGCACAGCAACTCGCTGTCCTCAGCTCTGCCCCTGGCTCTGTCTTATTGGGGCTCAGCCTCCTAGAAGAGGCTCAGATGGAGACTGGGGCAGTGGGGGTGGGGAATGTTGGAGAAGCAGCAGGCTGATGGGTAGATGGACAACTGACAGGTCACTGTCCTGGCCAGCCCTGACTCCCAGCCAAGCCCCTAAGCTGCATTCCCAGCCTCGAAGCCTCCCCAACTAGAGCCTGTCACCTGAGGCTTTCTCACCCTCACTGAGCCTCAGTTTATTCATCTACATTATGGGTATAAGCAACCCATCTTCACCGTGTGCCTGGAACCTGGGCTTTGAGATACAGGAGAAAGAATAGTCCCTCCCTGATTGGGAGATTCCTGCCTCTTGGGGAACACATGATGCCTGCTGTGTCCCCCAGGTGGCCATAGTCCAGGGATAGAGATAGCTGCATACCTAGCCCCCTGTGCCGCTCTGCTACTCTGGGGCCCACAGTTCCTTCAAATCCAGAGCATGGAGCCTGCCCTAGGCTGCTCTCAAGCTCATTCTCATGGTCTCTCCATCTGTCAGTCCAGGAGGGTTGCTGCAGGGCCAGGCCCGTGCTTGGAGTCCCAGAAAGTGGGGAGCCCTGCGGCTCAGTCCCCTGAGTATGCCAAGAGCCTTTCTAAGAATCAAGTCTGTGTGGGGTGGCACCCTAGGGGGCCTGTGGATGAGCACTCCTTTTCCCAGAAGACTTGGGAGCTCCCCAGGGTGGTAGCCTCAGAGCCCAGCCCTGCCCCACCTCCTTCTTCCAGCCCTGGCGGAGGTGCATGGCCTCCTGCCAGGCTGATGCAGGTGGTTGCACCAGCCACCAGTGGGTTAAGGGTGAGAGGGGTGGGTTCTGGGGGCCTCCTCCAAGCCCCTGAACCCTCTTCCTTCCCAAGGAGATGCAGACCCCTGCTTGGACTCCGCCCCCACAGCCTCAGGCTTTGGCTCCCACTGTCCCCATCCAGGCGGGGCTGGCAGCAGGTGACTAGAGAGCGCTGGGAAAGGCAGGGTGAGTGGGGGTGTGGGCCCCATCAAGCGCACTCCTCAGCCAATCAGCGGCCTGCCCGGCCAGTGGATTCGGTTACAAGCCCAAGATCACCCCATACTCCAGCCTCCTTCCTCCTCCTCCCGCAGCTCCATTCATTGGCCCGGCCACACTGGGCCTGCTGGGCACTGCTTCCGCTCCACCCCGCTCCTCCACCCCTCAGCTGCCGCCTTGTGGGGCCACCAGGGGCAGGCATCCCGGGGGCTTTGTCTGACTGGGCTGGGCCAGGGCAGAATGGGGGTTCTGGCGGTGCTGTTGGGGGTCCTGGGCTTCCTGGGAGTGGCTCTGGGGGGCTCCCCTGCCCTCCCCTGGCACAGCACCTCCTGCCACTTGGCCAAGCCCATCCCTGGCAACCCCCTGGGGTCCCTGAGCTTCCTGGGCAAGGATGCTCAGGGACTGGCCCTGTTCCATGCCCACTGGGATGCACACAGGAGGCTGCAGGCGTGTAGCCGGCAGGATGAACCGGAGCTCACCACAGCCTTCAGTGCCCTCTGTGCTCATGAGAGCACCCAGGGCTCCTTCATCCACTCCCCTGGACCTGAGCTGCAGAGAGTACTGGCCACCCTTCAGAGCCAGTGGAAGTCCTGCCAAGGGCCGGAGGAGGGGCCAGCAGGGGCCAGGGAGAAACGAGCAGCAGGGCAGAGTGGAGCACCCAGCAGAGGCCACCCACGAGTGAAGAGAGGCTGGACCGTGCCTGGCATGCTGTGGTGTGGAGTTGGCAACTCAGCTGGGAACTCCTCGGAGTTGGGTAAGGCGCAGGGCTGTGGGCTGGGGGTCTGGTGGGAGAAGCACAGACTTCAGCCCGGGCCCTTACTCTTCCAGGCTGTGTGTCTTTGGGCGGGGGGTGATTTAACCACTCTGAACCTCAGTTTCCTTATCTGGAAAATGGGGCTAACTATGAGTCTCATCATGGGATGCTTAAATGAGGTCATGGCTGGCGAAGGTCTTACTCAGACCTGGGAGTCCTCACTGATCACCATCTGAGGGAGGGGGCAGGCTGGGGTGGGTCCAGGGCTGGCTGAGCCAAAAAGGCTCTACCCAAGAGGTGGCTCTATGGGCACAGAGTGGCCAGTGTAACAGGCGCTGAGACCAAACGCCTGGGTTCAAATCCCAACTTGGCACATCCAAGCGGAGCGAGTCACTTCCTCTCTCTGAACCTCAATTTCCTTACCTGCAAAAATGAAGGCAATGCTTCTTTGGCAGGGCTGCTGTGAGTTTGGGTGTGGGAAGTGCCAGGCACGTGGGAAATGCTCCGTAAAGGGTGCTGTTGCTTGGATGGTGATAAGCATAGATGACTTTTTTGCACTCTCAGTACAGCTGTCTGTGCGTGTGTGTGGAGGGCTGGGGGAGGACTTGGCACCTGAGTCAGAGGTGGTTGGCATCCTGGCAATGCCTCGCTGTGCCGGTGAGAAAGGGTGCACCCTGCCTGTTTCCATTCCATGATGCATACTTTCACAACTTTGGAGTTTTATTTGGGGTGTGAGCTTGGGAACCCTGGAGGGAGACTCCAATTTCCCTGCAGACCTTTCCTTGTGGTCATGGGTGGGCTGCCTGGCACTTAGAGCCCAATGGGGGCTGCAACCTCGGTGCTTTCTTCAAGCTTTGAAACTGTGAGAATCCCACAGAGGGGGAGCAACTGGCCTGAGGTCCTCCCGGGGCGTTTGTGTCAGGGCTGGGTGACAACCGGGTCTCTGCCCTCTTGATACCAGGCGGGCATAGCTGGTGGGAAGTGCCTAGGACCCCGTTGAGCTGGTGTCCTTCCCCTCCCTGCAGGGGTCTTCCAGGGCCCTGATCTCTGCTGCCGGGAACACGACAGCTGCCCGCAGAACATCTCGCCCTTGCAGTACAACTATGGCATCCGAAACTACCGATTCCACACCATCTCCCACTGCGACTGTGATACCAGGTTGGCCGCAGGCAGGGAGGGCCGGGTGCTCAGGGGCAGGGTGGAGTTACCCAGTTCCCGGGTGTAGACACTGGGATTCCAGAGAGTCTTAGAGATCAGCCAGTCTGAATCCCACGGTGCAGGTAGGAAAGTGGAGGCCTGAGAGGAGAAGGAACTCTTGGATCCCAAACCACACAGCGGGTAGGGGCAGGGTGGGCCGGGAGAGAAGCCAGGTGGCCTTCTGTGGCCAGGGACCTGAGCGCCTGCTCTGGGCCAGGTTCCAGCAATGCCTGAGGAACCAGCGCGACTCCATCTCGGACATCGTGGGCGTGGCCTTCTTCAACGTGCTGCAGATCCCCTGCTTTGTGCTGGAGCAGCAGGAAACGTGTGTGGCGTGGTACTGGTGGGGCGGGTACGTGGCTGCCCACCCTCGCTCGAGTGCCTTCCCAGCCAGAGGGGGAGCTCGGGCTCCAAGCCTGGTGAGGGAGGCCTGTCTGACTGTCTGTCCTCCAGGGAATGACAGCTTGTCTTGCTCATCCTCTCCTCAGGGCAGAGCCCAGAATGCAGACCCTCCCTGGGTGCCCCTGCCCCACACAACCCAGCGCGATGGGGGATGAGACTGGCAGAACCTTGATCTCCATGGAGACGACCCTGGGGGCTTCTGGAAGGGGGGATTCCAAATCACCAATTGCTACCAACTGCCACCCCCCAGGTGTAGGACGTATGGCTCAGTGCCCCTGGCTCGCCTCCAGCCCAGGACCCGCTACAATGCCTCCTGGAGCACCCTGGTCACCTCCCCGACTCCGACTCCTGGTCCCCAGAGCCCAGCCCCGACCAAGGCTCAACGGAAGCAGCGCCCTCGGAAGTGGCCGCCACAGCGGAAAGGGCCCAAGCACCCCAGCAAAGCCAATGCCACAGCCCTCCAGGTCCCCATGGCCTCCCCCAGGCCTGATGTGGCTCCCACAGCCCAGCTGGGGGTCTCCCATCCAGGCCTTCAGGGCCCACGGATTGGCCTAAAACCTCAGGGTGAGAGAGCAAACCTGACCTTGGGCATTCTTGATGGGAGGGGGGTGTCCCTGCCTCTGTGCATGTGTTGTCGCCTTTCCTGCTCCAAATGCCTCCTGGGATCTCCCAACCTGTCCCATCAAATCACACTGCAGCAAGGGATTTTCATAATCTACGTATTTGACCATGTCACTGCCCACTGAGCTCCCCAACCCCACGACCCTTCTTCACCTCAACCAGTGATGTCCCAATACCCACAGGCCCTCAAGTCTTGGTCCCATAGCTTCTAGCCCCCCAGTCGAAACTCCAGTTTCACAAACTTCACATGGTTCCTCAAAAGCAGCCTGCACTCTCTTCCTACCTCTGGGCCTTTGCACATGCTGTTCCTTCTGCCTGGAGCATTCTCTTCTCCTCTCCTCTCCCAGCCTCAGTTTAGCAGCCTCTGCCTCCAGGAAGCCTTTCCTGACCACCCTCAGCACTGAGCTTCCCCGACAGTGGCGCTGCTCTGTGTGCGTGTGGGGGACACTCCCATACAAGCAGTGCTGACAGCACCAAAGGCACGAGACAGAGGGAGACTGTTTGTGTGACTGAGCACGTGTGCCTGTGTTTCTCCTGGATAGAGGCGGCCATTGACGGGGCCTCTCCGGTGAGCTGGGCTCCCCTCACCACTGCACCTGCCCCCAGGTGCCTGCCGGGCCTGCCGCAGCTTCCGCCGCCTAGACCAGTGTGAGCACCGGATTGGGCCCCAGGAAACCAAGTTCCAGCTGTTCAACAGCGCCCCTGAGCCCCTCTTCCACTGCAACTGCACACGCCGGTGAGGCCTCCTTGGACCCCTGGGGGCGGGCTGCCTGCTGCCAGGCAGTGGGAAGGGCACCTGGGTGGCCAGAGCCTAGCCTAGCCTGAGCCTGCCTCTGCCCCCAGTCTCGCACGCTTCCTGAGGCTCCACAGTCCACCTGCGGCCACCAACATGCTTTGGGAGCAGCTGGGCACGACCTGCTTCAAGCTGGCCCCTCCGCTGGACTGTGCTGAGGGGCAAGAGTAAGTAACGGCAGAGCCAGGAGGGATGGTGGGGCTCTTCCCAAGGGGTGGGGAGTCTATACTCCCTTTGGGTGCCTGGGCCAAGGGGCTAGGGCAAAGGCTCAGGGGGCCTCTGAGCTCCATTGTCACCATCCCTCTACCCACTGTGCCCCGGGGCCAGCTCTGCAGTTGGCTGTACCTTGGCTCTGTCATTTAATTCCTGGGTGACTTTCACAAGTTTATTTCACCTCTCCAAGCTTCCATTTCTTTATCTGCAAAAAGGCCTTAGGTGCTAAGGAGATGGTGTGACACACAGCTCACGCCATGCCTGGCATGCAGTATTAGTAAAGCACTTGCTTAACTCTTACTCCTAATCCACGATCTCGTTTGGATTTGGATTCTCAAAGCCAGCCCCTTGCTAACCTACCCATTTCACAGGTGAGGAAACTGAGGCCCAGATGGGCTAGTGGCAGAAACCAGGGCTCCTGGTACCAGCCCAGTTTATTTGTAACCCAACCCTCCCTGCCTCACTGGTGGCTCTGGCCTCAGCCCTTGTTCCTCTCTGGCCTCGGCCCCCCGTTTGCAGAGTAGGGTGGGATCCTTGCCAGCCCTCATCACCTGCCCCACTCTTCTCTCCACACAGCTGTTCCAGAGACCGCAGGGCCACCAAGGTGTCAGCCCTGCATTTGCGGAGGCTTCAGCAGAGGCGACGACTCCAGCTCCGGGATAAAGGCACAGATGAGGGGCAGGTGTGGCCTTCGGAGCACCCGGGGAAGCCTGTGTCATTCTACGACCGGTGCCTGCAGCTAATCCAGGCATCCCAGAGATCTGATGGGTGGCAGACATCCTGAAGCCAGTGACCTTGGTTCCAGCTCTCCCGGGCGCCAGCCTGGACCTTGCTTGTGGCTTTGCTGGGCCCTGGGCGTCTTGGCCTCCTCTCCATGTGTTAGACTGAAGCATGGCAGAGGCTCTTATGGACAACCAGGAGGCTGAACTGGGGGGACCCCAAGGCCCAAATGCTGCACCTTGAGCTGGTGACACAAGCCCTCTGTGCCTGGCTGTGGCATTGAGGAGGTTCACTCTGACGTCCTTGGGCCTTGCCAGGGAACTTCACGTACAGACGGGACCAGGGAGAGGGTAACTTATTGCAGCAGCCCGGGAGGTACCGGGGGAGGCACACGTATGTCCATGTTGCAAAATCAATACATGTCTCAAGAACTGCCTAGGGGAGCCCCACGGCGTGGATTCTCAGGCCTGGGGCAACAGGTGGGGAGTTAGGGGTTTCATAGAAACATCTGTGTCTGAATCCAGGATAGGGGTGGGCATTGGACAGGGCTTCCCAGCTCCCCTCTTCCCAGGGGCACCCCTTCTTTTAACAGCTGCTGTGGGCTTCCTGGCCCAGCCCTGGCCCACTCTTTCTGCCCTGAACCTAAATTCAACTCTCCTCTGTGCCTTGGGCAGGGACCTCCCTCTACCACTCTGAGCCTCAGTTTCCTCCTCTGAAAAAGGGAGTTGTAAACAAGAGCTACCTCATAGGGTGATTGAAAATTAAGTGAATCAACATATACATGATACTTAGCACCTAGCAAACATTCGCTCCTTCCAACATATAGCTGAACTGTGCTTTGGTGTCTGATCTTGAAAGGCTGATGTAACCCACTTAGGGGCCTCCATTTGCTCACCTGTGAAATGGGTCTAAGAATAGCATGGAACTCACAGGGTTTTGGTGCAGAGTAAAGAAGATGGCATGTCTCATGTGTACAGCTGGTACCTGGTGATGTCAGTCTGTCGTTATCTATCGCATCTCTTTAGTCCCTGCCTCTGGTTCCCCCCACCCCCAGACTGCTTACAAGTTAGGAAGGAGCCGGCAGAGAGGCTGGAGAATTTAATTCCTAATGGATGACCTCCAGGACTGGGACACCATCCCAGATGGGGGCCCGGGCAGGGCTTTGCTGATTGTCACAGTTGAGGTGCCGGGACTGAGTTTTGGGGGACCCTAGTTGGCCACCCCTGGCCAGGACAAAGTGGCAGGTGCAGACACAGCTGGAGCGGCAGCAGGAGAGAGGCAGGTGGGTTTGCGAAACATTGAGGCAGAGTGGGAGCCACCTGGGCCCATCTGCCTGCTCTGCCCTCAGGGCCCCAGGCCCCCTTCCTCTAGCCCCTGCCGGCCCTGGGGGCTGGAAGATAGGCTGTCGGGGGTCAGGGCCTCCTGATCAGGTCCCCAGGAGCCACCACCACCAGGATCTACAGTCTCCAAGCGCAAGGCAGGCAGCAGGCCCAGGCTTCGAGGCACAGCTGGTTGGAAGGCCCAAGAGCCAGGCAGCCCAGAGGGCCCCTCCTCACTACTGCCCCGGCTGCCGCCATCACTGCTCCTATTAGGAGCCACCCGGGGCAGGTGGCGGCTCTGGGGTGAGGGGCTACGGCTGGCACCACGGCGTTCACGAGATGAGGGCCGTAAGGCGAGACTAGAGAATCGGGCCAGTCCTGGGCTGCGGCTACGGTGTCCCTTGGACTTGCCAGGACTGGGGCTGCGGGACTTGGGTGCGAGCAGCTCCAGAGTGCTGTCATCCTCACCCTCTGAGCTGGTGCCCGAGCTGTCTGTGCTGCTGCTGGCCGACTCCGAGGTAGGCAGCGAGATCTGGGGGGAATGCTGGTCACCAGGGTGCCCCACTTCCCAACCCAGCCACTGAGGCCTCTTGGAACCAAGCAAAATGTAGAGGCTGAGACATTTGAACAAGGGCTTTTGGCACCCCCTGCAGACCCTGCAGTCTGGCCTGCTTACCTGGAAGGGTTCAGTGACGCCAATGAGGATGCTGTGGTTGTGGCTGTAGTAGCCCAGGATAAAGTCTCCATGGCCCTTGGGCAGTGATTCCTCACTGAATGTCACCTGGTGGGCCCAGCAGTATAGGTTACAGTTGGGTTCAGGGAGGCCGCCTCAGGGGGCCCCCAAGTCGAGTCCTGAGACCCCAAGGGCAATGGGGACTTCTGACCCTCCCCCACCTTTTAAGTACCTGGTAGATATTCCCGTCCATGTCTTCATGTTTGGCCCAGACATAAGCCACATAGTCCTTGCAGTGGCGGAAACCCACCTGGGACAGGAGGAATCAGTATCGTGACCCCTAATGCCTTATCCCAGCAGCCTCTGGGCGAGGTATCAAAATCTGGACAAGCCAGTGACTCTACCATGGTGTCCAGCTGCTCCTCCAGGCCCCTTCCTTCCCTGAGTCGCTGCCCACCCCTGCCCCTCTCACCCGGTACAGGCCGATCCAGTCCCAGGAGCTGCGGGCAAACACTGTTTCCACGCGGTACCTCGCCACCGCCTGCTCCGGCCGCACCCACTCATCTGCCACCTCCAGCCGCACCAGTGGCATGTCGTCCCTAAAAGCAAACTGCCCAGGCAAGGCAGGGGCAGGGGGACAACATCAGGAGAGGTCCTCTAGAATCCCACACATCGAGGACTCCTGGGCCCGAATCAGTGCAAATTGGCTGAGACAAGGGGCCTTTGAGGCAACTTCACAGACAGGGAAACTGAGACAGAACAGGTCTAGGATAAATGGCAACTTCCTGCCACCCAGCTCAGAGCTTCTTCTGCCCATAACCTCCTTAGGGAGTGAGTGAGACCACAGCTTTGAAGCTACCAGACCCTGCACTTGGCCCTGACTCTGCCATTGACAGGTTTTTCAACCCTGGGTGAGTTCTCGGCCTCTCTGAATACCAGCGCTCTAGTCTGTAAATGCAGAGCCTCTTATTTCACTCTTGGGCTTGTTGTGCACATTCAATGAGATACCATTTGTGAAGCATCCTATAAACTTCCCAGGGTAACAATAAGTGCTCAGTAAATGATTTGCCTATATGCTAGCAAGGGAGATCATTCTGGGGTAAGCTGAACACCCTTGAGTCTCCAAGAAGGGCCCTGGAGACCTCGGTTCATTTCTAGGCTCTGCCACTAACTTGTTGTGCGACCTAAGGCAAGGCCCTAGCCACCCCCAGACTCAGTTTCCCTACCTGAGTCTAAGTGCTAAGGGGCCAGTAATCATTGCCTTGTCATCGGTCTATGAAATTACAACCATGAGTATCTTTCTCCCAAGGTCAACCCAGACTGACCAGGGGGTCACATAAGTGGGTGGAGCTGCTGAGGTGGTAGGTGGCCAGAGTATTGGTTCCACCTCTGTCCCTCAGGGTGGACACGGAAGGGTTCAGGTGGTGCCAGTCTCAGACCTTTGTCTCCTCCCCTGTTTATCTGGTTTTAGGTTTCCCTCCCTCAGGCTCTGAGCCAAGCTGTTCCAGAAGAAACTGGCACATTCTTTCCCTGTTCCTGTGTTTGTAACAGCCAGATCTGGCAACGGTGGGCCCTTGGAAATGCCCTCCAAGGCCTTGCAGGCTCAAAACCCCTGCTGAGCCCTACTCTGACTGCGTTGCCCTGGATAACAGACTTACATTCTCTGAGCCTCAGTTTCCCTCACCAGTGAAACAAGGAGAATTTGGACATCTCAGGGTCTACGGAGGCATTCAAAGGGATGACATATGTAAAGTAGCTTACACAGGGCCTGGCATGTAGTAGGTACTCAACATTTCATGTTTTATGAGGGACAGAGTCCAGGACAAGTAGAGAAGGACAGGGTGGGGTGCCAAAGGTACGGTTTTCAAGGTGAGGTCCCTGATTGAGGGTAAAACCTCATGCCCAAGCCCTGTACCAGAGGCCACAGGAGGCCAGGCGTGGGCAGATTTCCATTCCCAGCTGAAGACATAGGCCAATGTCCCACTAACTTCCCACATGACAAAGTTACTAGGAAAAACATTCTCTGGCTTCCAGGGCTCCCTCTTATCAGGTGAAGAGATTTGGAGAGCCCAGATTTGGGTTTCAGGGCTGGAAAGGTGGGATCTATTCCGTTCTGCTGCCGCCGAGCTTGTGTGTGCCTCGGGGCATGTGCCTGCACCATGAGGAGCCTCAGATGTCCCCAACAGAAAAAAAGGGAGTTGGACTACATGGTCTCTCAGGTCTGCTTCTGACATTCTAGGATTTCTCCTTTTTACTTTGGCAACCGGAGACCTCAATCCTAAATATAGTACTCAAGTCTAGTAACTATGCAAAGCCGAGCTTTGTATTTTTCATATCTCTACTCCCCCACCACTACTCACTCTCACAATGCCTGGCATATGGCAAGACGGTAAGTACTCTGTAAATAAATAATGAATGAATATGCATGAGTGTTATATGGGGTTGGATTTTGCTGGTCTTATTATATGTGTGAATTTTCACACAAGTTTCCCTAAATCTTGCTCAGAAGAAGGGAGTTGCTGATTAGTGGGAAAGGCATGGGCTCTGAAATCAGACTGGGTGGGTTTCAAATCCTAACTCTTCCTCTCACTAGCTGTGCGATCCTGGGCAAGTGACGCAATGTCTCTGGGCCTCAGCTTCCTCATCTGAAAATGGGGACCCCCGCCCTACCCCCACCCTGTTGTGACAGACGGACGCTGCTGAGGGCAGGTACAAGGGACAGTGGGATGCTGAGTTGGGCCTGGGGATGTCATGAGGGGAGGATGAGGCCAGAAGTCACCTGCAGGACAAACTGGGCGGCCACAGGCTTGTGGTCACTGACTGTGTATTCCATGTGGCTTCGGTAGCTGTGCTGAGTCACCTGGAGCCGGTGGCTCTCCCGTCCTGAGGGGCTGGGTCCCCCACACGGAGCCTTGACCTTCCACAGGATACGGTCTGTCCAGGCTGGTTTCCGCTTCTTGGCGCTGCAATGGGCAGGGGTACCCTGAGTTCCAGGGGCTGGGGATGAAGGCACAGCCCCCAGCCCTGCCTCCTTCCCCTCTTCCCACAGTCTCCCTTTTCTAGAAGGCCCTG